TGGAATTCCAGCATCACTCTTCTTGACCTGGGATTCCTGTCCTTTTAGTATTCCGGTGTCACTCTTCTTGACCTGGGATTCCTGTCCTTCTGGAATTCCAGCATCACTCTTCTTGACCTGGAATTCCTGTCCTTTTGGAATTCCAGTATCACTCATCTTGACCTGGGATTCCTGCCTTTTCAGTATTCCGGCGTCACTCTTCTTGACCTGGGATTCCTGTCCTTTCGGAATTCCGGCGTCACTCTTCTTGACCTGGGATTCCTGCCTTTTCAGTATTCCGGCGTCACTCTTCTTGACCTGGGATTCCTGTTGTTCTAATATTTCATTGTCACTGTCTTCTGCTTGGGCTTCCTGTCCTTTTGGTATTTCAATGTCATCCTCCTTTACCTTGATCTCCACTTCTGTCTTGTCTTGCCCCAACTCAGTGCTTTTTGCTTTTCCTTTTGGTACTTTTTTGCTTCTTGACGCCGATCCCTCAGAATCTACAATTGTGACTTCTTTTATTGATGTTTTCTTACTTTCTTCTTGGCTACTCTGAGCCCCTGTAATGCCTCCAGTTTTTAGAATGTGGGCTTTAGGATCTGATATTTTTGCAAGTTCTCCATCCATGTAACCTGGAAATATAACTGAGCACATAACAAAAGTGCATGATTCAGATATCAAGTATTTTCTGTTTATTCCTATATTTTTCCTGATACTGGTTTCTTTTCTTTTGTCTTAAAACTGACATATTGGAGATAAATTGACATTTTCCTGAAAGTATGAAATGGTGGAGCTCTACATATAAAATTATATAAGTAGTGATAAAATTCCAGACTTTTTTCAACAATTGAAAGATAAATGAGAGAAAAGGTGGAATGTGCTATAAGTGAACTGGCATTTGTTCAGTAGATTATGGCTAAAGGAAGATGTATTCTGAAAAATAGAATTTGGGTTTAGAAAAAATTGTAGAAATAAGCAATATTTATTTCTTAAAAAAGAAAAAGAAAACTCAAAATATGCTTTCCATATTGAATAAAAGGATGTCTCATTATGCAAAAGTTGATGGTAGTACTAGCTGATACTTACTGTGTTCTAAGTATATCTGAAGCACTCACTGTTCTAAGCAGTTTACACAGGTTAACTCATTCAATCCTTACAACCTCCATATAGAGTATGAAAGGATAGCTATTATTATCCCCATTTTACAGATGAAAAAACCTGAGGCACATAAAGTTTAAATGAATGTGTGTATGGTCATGTAACTAGTAAGTGGTAGAGCTGAAATTTCAATTTGAGTAGTGAGACTTCAGATTTCAGCTGTAACCATCACTCTTGACTGCTTTTTGAAATATCTATTAAGTCACTTTATCATATGCACATAAATAATCTCTGATATATTTTAATTTTTGTGTGCTTTAATGAATGAATTTGCTTGCTTCTGCTATGGTTTTTTTTTTTTTTTTAATATGATACTGAATTACAAAAAAAAAATTCTAAGCTACCAAGAGAATTGTATGAGTTCTTGCTGTGGAACAGAGATATGCCTTCCTTTGAGAAAACCTAATATTTAATATTTAATGCAGTAGGAAGAATACTGAATTTGAAAGCTGAATCAGAACACTTGGGTTTAGTACTTATGCTATCTGGGTTTATATGGGTAAGTCAGTTAATCCCCAAGATTTACTTTCCTTTTTATTTATTTAGTCTGCTCTGACTATTTTACAGAGTTACTAAAGGATTCTAGACATCTGTTTAAGGAGCATGGCCTTTGGAGACAAATTGATTCAAATCCTGGTTCCACACCTAGCTAGCTAGGTAACCTTGGGCAAGCTTCATTTTCTCATCTGTAAAATGGGGGTCATGATAGTAGCTGCCTCACAGAGGTGTTGTGAGGATTAAATAATATTTAAATAATCTAAGTAAAGCATTCAGTATAGTGAATGGGACATAATGTGTAGTCAATACATATTAGCTATGGTAGCATAGTGGCTAAGACACTTGCCTGCTAACCAGACGGCTGGCGGTTCAAACCCACCAGCCACTCCTCGGAAGGAAGGTTGGGCAATCCTACTTCCGTAGTGATACTGCCTCGGAAACCCAAGGAGGGGTCGCTATGAGTCGGGTCCGACTCGATGGCACATAACAACAACAACAACAACAACTACCAGATGCAAGCAAAAAGTCTCTCTGATCTGTCAAGACAAGGTGTTCTTAGATCCCAATAAATAATACAGAAGAGTAATTAATTGCATGAAAGCAAGATTTCTTGCTTAAGAATTAATTATTGGAGTGTTTTTACATAAAGAGCTTTCTGGCAACTTTAAGGTCTGATGTTTATAAAACTGACATACATATAACATCAGAATTTTATTAGCTGTAAAAAGTGAGGCACATCTGCACTAGGTAAGATGTTGTTGTTGTTGTTATGTGCCATCGAGTCAGACCCGACTCATAGTGACCCCTCCTTGGGTTTCCAAGGCAGTATCACTACAGAAGTAGATTGCCCCATCTTCCTACCGAGGAGTGGCTGGTGGGTTTGTACCGCCAGCCTTCTGGTTAGCAGTCAAGTGCCTAGGTACTACGCTACCAGAGCTCCCTAGGTAAGATGGTAATTATAAATTATAAGGGGTATCATAATTCATTCTTCTTTAGCTTTTTTCTTTGCTCTTTTAAGCTTTTGACACCACAATAAAAATAACATTAGGAACCTTGCAGTAAAGCTTTCTGAAACTTTTTGTGTATTTTTTTCCTCTAGTGTTGTTCATTAAGATATATGGGTGCAGTTTTTTTTTTAATACAAAAACCCATTTATAATTTAGTAAAGAAACCAAGTAGTAATATATTCTAAGCATTGCTGTACTGAGAAAGACAGTACAGAATATTTTTATCTCTGACAGTGCTCTCAATGGGCATAGTTTTGTTTCATTTGGGAAGAGGTGATGTAGTGTGGGATGAGTGTGTTTTCATTGAGGCTTCTAACCTTAAGAATTCATGGTGTATACTCCTCAAACAAGCAGATTTTTCTTAATATATTAATACTTTTAGTTTTACCATCTCTTTGTGGGTAATTCTGTGTACAATATGCATCATCTATTCTATAAATCTAAATTTACCTTCTAAACTGTGTAGATTTGTTCATCTAAATTAAGTGTTTTAGGATTTTAATGAAACAGTGTTTACACTAGCTACATTTTCCCTAATTTTATAGAATTTTAAAGAGTTTTATTCTTTATCCCATACACTAAAAATAGTTTTAGTCACTTCTAACCCTATGGAGTATAAGTCTACTCTGTACACATGGAGTCGTCATGAGTCAGAATCAACTTGACAACAGTACAACAATGAGTATCTTCATACCCTTGATGGTTTTAGTATCTTCTCTGCATCTTTTCTATCTTGAACTTAATTAACAAAAATTAGATTTTCTAGGACATATTTTCAGGAACATGTTGTTGTTGTTGTTGTTATGTGCTGTTGAGTCAGACCTGACTCATAGCGACCCTTTCTTGGATTCCTGAGGCATATCACTGTGGAAGTAGATTGCCCAACCTTCCTTTCAAGGAGTGGCTGGTGGGTTTGAACCACCAACCTTCTGGTTAGCAGTCGAGTGCCTTAGGCACTATGCTACCGGAGCTCCTTTGAGGAGCATACCTATTCCATAAAATGAGGTTCATTTTTATTTCAACTTTGCATTGCAGAAGTAAGGCACAGCACATCATTCCACCAAATTCTAAGTTCTTTTCTTCCTTCTCCCAGATTACAAGATAGCACATAAATCTTTTTTCCCCCCATAAACCTCATAATCTTCTATAATTAATTACACTGTAAATCTCCATAGTGTAAAGATTTGTAAACTCTGACTTTGAAATCGGAAATCCATCTTTGCAGGCAGTAGCCCATATAACAAAATTCTAATAGAATCAAAGGATTTAATCAAGATTGGAGATCACTGTAATGTATTCAGGCTGATTAAAAATTAATGATGAAAAACTTTAAATTGCATTAATTTTTGTTAAAGCAGAGAGATATCATGAATTTGATGTCACATTAATAGTTATATGAAAATTAATATAATGTGGAAAATAGACCATGGGCTTTATTAGGAACTAATCTTTTAGGTTCTTTATCTAGTGGCTAGCAGGGGAGAAGAGCATAATCAGATCTAGACTCTAAAAGATCTATTAAGTCAGAGGAATGAGTCATAAGTTCTCAGAGCACGTGTTAACATTTTTAAAGATTATATGCTTATTAGCTGAATGTGGAAGTGAGAAATAAGGGATTCAACTTGAGATGATAATATTTGATGGATCAGTCTACCTTAAATTCTTTCTTAGAACATTGAAGTAAGCATTGACCTCCTTAAAAAATAATCTAGAAGAATGTGTTTGAAAGATTATACCAACAAGGATATACTTTTTATAAGAAAAATTTGTTAAAAATTAAACTTTTTTTTTCTAGAAATTTAAAAAAATTGTATTCATTAGAAACTAATTCACTTCTAGGAAGTGACTTGGCCTGTTAACCCTTCTCAGAGCTCTTTCTTTTTGTAAAGGAGACACACAAAATCACAGTCCTCTCATCTTCACTGTATATGGAGAGGGTGTTGAGGCATGTGTGGTGGTCTGAGTGAGCCGTTTTCTGGCACATGATCACTACTCTAAATGCAAACTGTTTCTTACACATTATGACTCAAAATAAAATAATTGTCCCTTCCAACCTTACTCTCCCTCCAGGAAACTCACCTTCTTCCTAGTGCTAATAAAAAAAAAGAAAAAGGCTTAAGCATGATTAAATATAAAGACAAATTTTGTGTTTGTCAGTGTTTGGAATGTTAGATACTCAAAGTGGGTCTCGCTACATTTGAATCTTACTTGCTTCTTAAGATTATATATTTACAGTGTTGGAAAAGTATTATTTTTATTGGTTTTGCATGATTTCCTTGTAGGAACTGTATAAATCTGAATGTAGAAAACAGTTACAAGTCAAACATTAATTTAAATGGGAATCTTTCTCTTTTTAAAAGAATACTTTTGTATGCATTTAATTATCCAGCTTCTTTAGCAGATGTATGGATTTATAAACATTAGATTTATAGATAAACTTTTATATGACTAATCACCAGAAAGGCATTTGTGGTTCAGTATAGGAGGCAGTATGTTAACATGGAGAGAGTATGCATTTTGGAGACAGGAAGTCTTAAGTTTAAATCTGGACACTGATGTTTGCCAACTTTTTAACTTTAGGTAAATGTCTGGCCAGTTGGATGATCCGTAAAGTAGGGGATAATAATAGGTACCAGGCAGGGCTATTAATAGAATAAGAGATAATGGTTTTCAATACCTTCTGTCCTTCAAAAGGTAAAGTTACTTAGAAGGCAATAGAAAGTAATTGAGATTCTGTTCTCAACTAGTTTGTTTGTTTCTCCTATAAATATGATTCAGTGAGCCTTCACTTACAACTGAAAAAGAGTTCTAAATTCCCAGCAAAGAACTAGTGGAATTCAGAAACTAATCTTTCCTCCATTATATTCTGCTGGGAGTCAGTGAGGAGATTCCTCTTCAGAGCCTAGAATGTGGCCAGAGAATATGGCATCCTTTCATTTTAACTATATCTCCTTGATAGAAATCGCTCCAAAAAGTAGTTTTTTAAACTCTTGGAAGATCCTGGAGATTGAAACCTTTAAAATAACTCTAGAAGCCTGAGCCTCTGTTTTGGGAGTAAAAGCCAGGTTAGAAAGTACGTAACAATGTAAAATAGAGTTGAGGATAAATAAAGAACTTACCCATAGGAGACAGTGCTACAAATAAACACAAAAGAAAGATCAGTGGAAGTTTTCTAACTCAAAAGAGAACCCAGCCTCCAGTGATAGCCCTTCTAAGTGAATGCAGAAGCAGGACTTCCTGGGAGGATAACCCTTTGTTTCGTCCTCAATAAATTTACCAGCAGGAGGAGCTGTTGGTCAAAACTTCCCCATTCCATTTTACAGAAAGGAATTTCTTTGGGATGCCATTTAGCTAGTGTATGGGATTGAATGTTTGATTAAGTATCTATTCTACTGAAAATCAAATTATTACATTTCCCACCTTTCTTTTTTCTGAGTCAGATTTTTACTGCTCTCCTTCTGATCAGTTTGAAAATGTGTATCATTGATTAATAATCAAAATTGACATTTGACATTTATTCTTTATGTCAATTTTATTGTTGTTTTTGGGTGCTGTCTAGTTGATTTTTGACTCATAGCAACCCCAAGTGTGACAGAGTAGAACTGCCCCCGTAGGGTCTTTCTCTTTAGAGCTACTGGGTGGGTTGTTAACCACCTTTTGGTTAGCAGCCAAGCACTTAACCGTTGTACCACCAGAGAGCCTTTGTCAATTTTAG